GTGTGACATCTGAGTAGAGAGATTTGATAGAAAACAAAAACATAAAAAAAAAAAGAAAGCAAGGTGACAGTAAATCCCTGCTTTTACCCATATTTATAGCACACTTCCTGCGTCACAAATCATTTTTGTCATTTCGATGGAACTGTGGACACCAAACAACATGATTCATGGGAAATACTTAGAAGCATGCGTGGAAGTATGAATGCTTGCTGCTGTTCCCACTATGATCCCTTGCTGGCCCATTCCTGTGAAAATAGTGGAAGTTTTGGGGGGCAGGAGCATTCGATTAGAGAAAATAAATAAGTAAATCCTTCTAGCACTGCTGGAATTTCAGGCTCATGGCCAGCAGCTCACAGTCACTGTCACAGTGCAGTTAAGCACTAAATAATGAGATTTCTACCAAGACCTGTGCGAAGCGGGGAATAAAGAAAGCTTATCAGAGTATTCAACATTAGAATTGGGTCTGTAGACTGGGTGGAGAGAGATGGGGAGAAGGAATGGAGACCCAGGCAAGGGCACAGATCTTAGGGAACATGGTTGCAGGAGGAAGAAGGGGAGAAATGAGGCAGTGGCAGGTTTTAAAGTAACTTCTCTGACATTGGAGAGAAGAGGACTTCATTACCTCACTAAAAGCGTCCAATTTGAGAAGCATTGCAACTGCTGGTAGGGTGAATTATTGAAACAGCAAGGTGACATACAGAGTTAGAATGTGATACACATTACCACGAGGAGATTGAGCAAAGACACTGGATGCTGAGCAAGCAACCTGGAGTGTTTAGAACTGCATGCTACCACACAAATCAAGACGACTTCGGGCCCTCAGTGAGATGACTAGACAAATAGGCACAACCGTCGTGCTAGTCTTTCTCTCATGTATTTTGATGAGTAAGAAAGGAAATTTTGATATTCTAAAAAAAAGGCAAACCTAGAGGTTTTATTAGTGGTAATTAATCACGAGTCCTAATGACAATTAGTTATTTTGTTTTCTGACCTGAGAGAGTTGGCAAGGTGTATAAAAGGTGAAGGGTGTTTCTCTCTTCCTGTTTTAGGTCAGTGTTTGACTTAACTCACCTCTCTCGCTGTTTTGGGGGAAGCATGTATGTCTTGGTAGAGATCAGGAAACAGGGAGCGATCCGAACAGTTGCAGCACTTTAAGACCTTGGGTCCAAGATGGGTCAAGATTTATTGATTGGAAGGGAGTGAGGCTTCACAGAAACTACTCGGTGTCTATAAGAGAATATATCGTATTTTATCTCTCTTTCCCCGGGAAGCTTCATTCCACGGTGATTAGCAGTCTGAGTAACATTTGCTTGTTTAGTAACCGCATACAAGTCATACTCCACAGGGAAATTTGGTTATGAGGCAGCAGGACTCACATGATCTCACCCTGAACACTCTATAATATCTTCCAGATCCAGGTTGTCTCCAGATCAATCCAGACCATGTTTGAAATACCAGATGTTTTATACCCCTTCCTCTTCCACCCCCCCACTTTTCTCTTCCAAGTATATAACATGCAATCTCTCTGCTCTGGATCAAGAGGGTCACCTGAAACGTTGCCAGCATATCTGGTTTCTTGACATTACGATTATGGAGGAACTGATACCACTTCCATTCCTAACTCTAAAATGAACAGAGAGAAGCAGGGGATTGGAGACTCGGGTCATGGAAATGTAAGCTGAGTTTCTGGAGCCTATAGTTACGGTTATTTAATACATCTTGTTTGTGACTGGTATTCAAGATAACTATTGTAGAGGCACTTGTATTCTTTCAGAGGACCTTGATAGGTATTCTCAAAGCCCAGCTATGATTTCTCCGAATATAGTCAATCCAGAGGACCTGTTGTTTTCTTGAACAATAAAGGAGAAAAAAAAATCAATCTGTCATACCCTTCTATTGACACTGGCCAGAATGTGTTGCTAAAATTATATAAAGTAGACAGCTTCAGAACTTGTGTGCTTATGAAAACCATGTGTTTTTAAGGCACCAGTGTTGATTCTGCAGGGAATGTGATCACCCAGTTCTGGTGACATGAAGATACGTGGCAGAACTGAGCTGTGTCACTCAACAGCTGGACTTGCTTGTGTCCTCTACATACTCTACAGACTGAGGTTATGGTGGCTTGCAGGAGCTGATCATACACTGCCTTTCTCAAATGATCATTCCATGCTTAGCAATTTAGCTTGGACAGGTTGCTAAGTGGCTAACTGAAGATAAAGTTACCCAACATATGATTTGCAATCGTAATTTTAGAATTTCAAAAAAAGTTGGAGTCAATCCGATTCAGATTCAATTCTTTCCTTATCTAGATGAAACTCATGGGAGAAAAATGTCTTCAAAAATCATTGAATGCAGCTGGTGAGACTGTAGGACCAGACCACAGTTTTCTTGACTCTTCTTCAATAGTCTTTCTTCATTTTCAGAGTTCTCTGTTTTGTTTTTTCCCTAATACGTGTAACTATACAATTCTCATCTTTTTTTTATATTGCTGTTACACATAAGCACACAAATGGTAGTGTTCATGAGTCCTAGGATCTGAATTCTATTGTCTAAACAGTGAGAATGTCTTAGCTGGCCAGGACCTAACATCTAGGCCTTCCTCTTCACTCTTCCACCCCGTCCTACACAGCCTGAACAGCATCCTGTGTATCTAACACCATCCCTATTAGTCCTCACTGAGAGTTCTCAAGCTCAGAGAGCTAGGCACAAACTAGCCTGTAAGACCTGGGTGTCCAAACACAAGACTCATCTCTTTTGTTAAAAAGAGGACTGTGTCCAATTGGGGGTAGTCTGTGCTGAGGGCAAAGAAAGGGAAGACGTGTGTTGAGGATTCTGGGTCCTGTATATTTCAGGGAATCCTGAACATGGAGTAAACTGGGGAGAGAAATTGCTGGAACTATTAGAACAGAGCTTATGAACTGAAATACAAAAGAGTTGGGGCAGCCCAGGTCCTCTGGCACTGTGCCTTAAAAGGTATAAAATAGACCTTGAACAGCTCAGTGGTGGATGGTTCTGGCTCTACAAAGTAGAATCGGTACATTTTCCTTCATCTTATTTCTGAGAGGGAGGCTGGCACTCCCAGAAGCCTCAGGGAGGAACAGATCAGAAGAAAGCTGACTTACACTTGTAGAGCTATGTCCTCTCCAGATAATGTTGTTGTATCAAGTTTTAGAACTGCATTCCAGATTATAACTCAGTCTGGAAGCAGATACATCTGCTGAACAAGGAATGAGAATGTGGATCGCAAATCTCTTTTCTTAGAGATTTGTGTTTGTCATAATTGAGGTTGAAAATTCTTACCTAATTACGGGGCATAAGACAGATCTTTAGTTGAGCCTCAGTGAGGCTTAAGTGTTGTAGAACAACACGTGGGTATGTAAAAATCATCTCTGTCATAGGCAAATTAGTTCATTGCCAGCCTGGAATTCTGTCTCATAGCTTTGGTTGCTAGCAATGATTCTGAAAATGAGGTGTCTTTTTTGTGTTTTGTTTTTAATTAGGACTCTGTCTTTTGGGTCTCAGGACATAGTGTATACTGCTGTGACCTGTCTCTCCCCTACACTTAACTTCTCTGTCAGGGACATTGTTGCTTCTTTCACTAAGTCTGAGCACTCAGAAAAGGTGAACGTATGTGTGTTTGGGGGAAAAAAGTCAGTGTTAATCTAATTAAGTTCCAGAGAAGCCTAGATACATGAGCACACGTATTTTAGTGTTCCCATGAGTCCAAAAATCTCTTGTTAAGCCTATCTTGCGTCGGTGACCATATTGTTGAGAGTTCATGCGTGCAGCTTCCCTGTGACATCTAGAAGGTACTATCCAGCAGCAGGCATCTGGTCCTCTGGTTTATACAATTCTTCTCCTGCCATGTTCCCTGGGCCTGTTGTAGGTGCATCATTGGGTTTGGGTATGCCATAGCCAGCTGTCCTCTGCATTTGTCCAGTTGTGAATTCACATAATAGTTTGCATCTACTGCAAAGAGATACTTCTTGGATGAGGAGTGAGAAATACTCTTATGGAGTACCCATAGATGGGTATAAGACTATGTATTGAGACTGCAGTCTACTGCTTTAGGAACATGCCAGTAGTAGGTTCCCCTTTAGTGTCCGTGATCTCTTAGCTGTAGATAATTGTTTGGTTTTTAGTACTAGACATAAATCTCTATTCACGAGGTGAGTCTTAAGTCTAAGTAGTCAGCTGTTAGTTACCCCTCAAACAGAGTACCACTATTGCACCATCATGGATAGCTTGCCCGGGTAGTCAGTGTAAAATCTAGATGTACAGCCGGATAAGCCTGCCGACTGCTTTTCTCCCTTGTCAGCCCTTATAACACCTTTGGGTGCCATGAAAGCTAGTCCTCTGAGAGGAGGCTTCCAGGTAGGTTCCAGAATGTATTGACATTTCAATCCTGAGCAAATTCTGAAACCTTTTTGGGTTTCAATACAATCATCTGTAAAGAACAGGGGGAAATAGGACCTGCTTCCTAAATGTTGTGTGAGGCTTTGTAAGATTTAAACGGTAAGTATAATGGAATACTTTTGCTGGTATTCAACAAGCATTTGTAGTTGCTGCGATTTTACTTTCGTAATATAAAGTAACCCTTGAATCATAATTCCTAAACTCTTTCACATATTTGTTTGCTTTTCAGGCACTGCTTTCTGTGTCCTCCCTGAACCTGTATTCAGAACACAAAAGGGACAAAGCCATGAATCCATGATTTTTTGTGACTTTCAGTATTTGTATTCTTTTATGAAATTGTATTTTGCTTCTCTTCCTTTCATGATAAAAGCAAGGAGAATATAAAGAATGCTATATATGTTCTTGCGGCTTCCATTTACATACCTGGTGTCAGAGCTGGCTAAACAATGTGAGGCTCATAAAGGAGTTGTTTGAGAGTTACGTCAACAAGAGCGTTAAGTGGAATTAAAAGTGTGATTTATTGAATTTTTAAAAATTTTAAAAATGTATAATAATAGATTCCCTTTTGTTCCTCCCCTTAACAGATGGGCTTAGGTCATGAGCAAGGATTTGGAGCCCCCTGTCTAAAATGCAAAGACAACTGTGAAGGATTTGAACTACACTTCTGGAGGTGAGCTCTTGGAACCTAGTAGTCTTAGCCTTTCCCCCCCTCAGGCAGGGCCCTTGGACAGTGTTCTTGGTGCTCTCTGGCAAGTTCTTGGACTCAGCTCCTTAGCTACTGGGCTTCTCTTTGATTAGAAGTTAATGCCAAGTGACCTGTTCTGTGTTCACATCATGAAGTAGGTTTGCTGATAACCATATGCACAGTTGGCTGATTTCTTTGCTGTCTTTCAGATTTCCTGTGATGTCCCAAATACAGAATATGCCTTTCTGAGTGGCAGAGGAGTTTGTGGTAACCCTTCTGGACTGTCAATTAACTTCTTATTAACAATGAACCCCTTGCAGCTCACACCTACCATTCCAGTGCAGGCAGCATGCGTGTCTCCTTACATGTCCATGTCCTAGGTGCCAAGAAATGACACTGTTGAATTCTTAAAAATTCTCTCAGAAGTAGTTTTATTACTGAGAAACGTTGAGGGGCTTGAAACTTTAAGAATTTGTTGCTATTTTTTGAATGAAGTGCATGTATCTGAAAGACAGAAGATAATGGATCCTAAAAATCTAAAAAAAAAAGGAAGCCAGTTCCTTCAAAGAACATAAAAGTTCTTCCACATGCCTGCTCAAGTCAGAGTCAGCATAGTATTGTTAAAATAAAAAAATACAAATCAATTCCACAGAGGATAATGATTCCCCTGTGGCAATAAACTTTTTTTTTCAACACTAAGGATTGAGCCACAGCCTCATGTATGCAGAGTGAGCATCTCTCCACTGAGCTGCGGCTCCAGTCCCCACTGATCTCCATTTAACTCCTACTTCCCTGTTTCAGATTACCATAGAAACTAAAATAAGTTTCCACAGTCATTATGTATGGATACAGTGTAAGTTAAGGGGAGAAACAATAAAATCTGACGTATTAGTCTCCTTGAAAAGCTTGCGTGTTTAGTAAGCTGTAGGTACCAGACATAAATGCTTTAAAGAGCAGTGGTAAGAGAAATCCATGTTTCCACAAATAATAGACCAGTTCCTTATTTTTGTTTATTTTTAAAGAGCTTAGAATTTTCCATGGAGTTGGTAAATTCCAGACTTAAGTACCTTCATTGCCTGTAGGGTAATACAAAGATAATATCATTGAACACAGACTAATTTCTCAGGATTAGAATGAGGTTATCTACAGGCACTACTGAAGGGCCAGAATTACAGATGCTCAAACCTCACCGTAAATCTTGTGTCTGCTTGTGTTCTATCCATTTCTTCTTCAGACATTTTATACATGGTAAATTCTGTGACTAGTTGGTATGTTGTATTGTTTGGGGAAGAAGGACTGATGTTTGTTTATCTTCTCTATTTATTGAATGCATGGATGAGGAGCCCAAAGATACCAGGGTGACCGGTTCACCTTTCACCTCTTCACCACCTTTCCTTTGTGTCTACCAGATGACTTTTCGGAGGGACACACTGCCCCCTGCTGGGTTTTTTAAACTTAAAATAATCCTTTCAGCTATGTAATTTCCCAAACTGCTCATGAGATTATTCAAAAGCTCATTCCTAAGGGAGATTGCTTTTTCTGTAAACGAGGTTTTAGAGTGCCTTGTTGGTCTGCAGATTGTTCTGCTATAATCTGATCGTTTCAAACTGTTGAAAGGTTGGCCAGGCAACCTCTGTAGCATGAAAAGCCTTTCTTAGTTTTATCAAACAGGCTGCTTTGATAAACTGGCCATAGTCTTAGGGTCCAAGAGTCTCCAGCCTAGCTGGGTTTGTATGATTCTTCCGTATATTTCTTAGAAAAGCTGTAATCCTCCTGGCAGGGGTCCAAACTCTTTTCTCCAGTACCATTCTCTAAAACTGGAAGACCAGAGGCAGAGGCCTTTGACCTCTTGGTGCAACTGGTTTTCAGTATTTTTTAAAATACATTTCAAAGTATTTATTTATTCATTTTTATTTTACATGTATGTGTATTTTGCCTCCATGTATGTCTGTACACCACATGTGTTGATGGTGCCCCTCAGAAGTCAGAAGAGGGTGAAGGGGCCTGTGACACTGAGGTTACAGACAATTGCTAGCATCCATATGGATGCCAGGAACTGAACCTTCATCCTTTGGAAAAGCAGCAGCTGGGCTTACCCACTGAACCATCTTTCTAGCGCCCTTTTGGAAAAGTCATAGAAACATATTCTAGAGAAATGATCCCGAGTGCAAACACAGATGTCATCTACAAACCAGAGCCGTGGGGTCTCCAGCCACTGAATCATCCCCATCTTCACAGTGAAGTTTGACATTTAGGACTCAGTCCTTAGCATCCCCATAGTCACAGAATGGTATTTTGAAGTGCTTGGATAGATGCTGTTTTGTACTTCCAATTGCCTGAGAACCCTCCATACACAACGGATCTATTCCTTTCATGACATTATTTGGCCTCCATTGGCAGACCTCAGCCTCTGGCCTCTACCCATTTATCTAGCCTTTCTCACTAAGTATCATGTAGTCCCAACTATGTGTTCCTTGTTATTCCTCAAAATCCTCTGAATTTCTTACTACATATGTGCATGCTTGGATAGATACTACCTACCAGTACTAGAAACAGAAATTCTTAGATGTGCAATACTATTGCCTACTGTATTAGTCAACTCTAGCTGCTATAAACAACAAAAAAAAAAACCAACAACACAGTTCTAGCTGCTATAAACAACAAAAAAAAAAACCCAACAACACAGTTTTAGTGCATTAAACACAAATGTATTTCCCCAGCCACTGTGAAAGCTATACATTTCTGTCGAGGGCCCGCTTTCTGAGTTGTAGACAGTCACTTTCTCACTGTGCACTCTCATGGCCAGTGCACATATGGGAGAAGTCATCCATGTATTATGTATAGCCTTCAGTCCTATCATATTTGAACCCTTTCCATATCACCTCATAGAACCTTGGTTACCCCTGGAAACTTTAATCTTAACTATATTTCCATTAGGCAATTGGAGTTCAGCATATGAACTGGGGGGGGATAAAATATGATTCGGGGCCCCTCCTTCTGGGTGCTTCCGCCGATTTCAAAATTAGAGATTGTTTCTCCTGAATACTACAGAGTGTCCTGGTTCTCTTCCGCTTTACCCTTTAGCCTCTGACTAGTGTCTTCCATGGCCTCATTGCCAAGGACAAAGGAGTCCGCTAGTCATAGCCAGAGTGCTGTAGGTGGAGGAGCATGGATGCAGAGAGGCAAATGGAAGGTCAGAACTTGTCACAATAATTCTGGGGAACTAAAAATAAATCTTTGCACTTATAGGAGTTTAGAGGGAAAATTCCAGCTCCGCTCAGCAAACCTCATTCAAATAGCAAAACTAAAAAATGTTAAAATGGTTGGTTAGTGCCAATGGGTTTCTATTAAGTATAATTTATGAACCATTCCCAGATGCTGCACTTGTCGAGGGTTTCTGTTTCTGGGTAGCCACTTATGACGAACTCAGTGGGTAAAAAGACCACCAGTTAATTACCTGAGCCTCCATTCTTACACGTTACGAGCTGGGGAGGGAGAAGGATAGTGTAGCCCATTCTGTTCTTGGCATCTCAGAAAGCCTCTATCAAAGTGTTGATGTGTGTTTTATCTAATTGCTCCTTCCTGCTGTTTGTAGAATCTGATTTTTGCTGTTGTTGGACAGCTGAAGTCCCTGGTTCCTAGCTGCTTTTCAGATGAAGTTGCTGTCATCTTTGGAAGCCACACACATACCTTGACACACAAATACTTTCATCTTTCAGTCAACAATAGTTAGGAACTTTTCTATATCTTCAATCCCCATGACTTCTGTCTTCATTCCTTTTTAAGGGCTTCAGTGATTAGAGTAGGTTTGCCTGAATGCCCCTCTCCCCATTTATCAGACAACATATTTATGGGAATAACATCAGAGGTGAAAGTCTTAGAGTTGTCCTTAGATTCTGCTTCTCACAGCACTTTATGTTCCTGATACTCCCTAATTTTCCTCACACCCATTGTATTATGTGAGGAAGCAGGCTCAGGAAAGTAAATAGAGACCATATGGAGAGCGAGCAAAACTTGAACCCAGAGCTTGGCAGAGTCTTCCTAAGTGTTCTTCTTCATGCCACATTAGAAAGGGGAACACATTTTCACTTTGACAACCACGCAGCTTTGAGTGTCACCAGCTGTCTGCTCTGATGTGTGATTTTGGTGGCCTAGAGATCCTTGTGATAAATGGCATCCTTTATCTGTGAGGGCTTCCCTTCAGTGTGCTGGAGATTCCAAGACTAAAGGAAAACTAGAGATTAAGAAAGCTGAGATCTACCCACCAAAAACTATCTACGGGACACACTTCCAGCAATATGCAGATGTAAGTACTTATGAAGTGTCCGACACAGTCCCAAGATTTTAAGGCACTTATAGCCAACTTTTTTTTTTTATACTGAATATGTAGTAAGATCATTACAACCATAGGTCATTCATCATATAAGTAACAGAACTATAGTTTCATCTTAACTATGTTAAAACAGTCACACTTTACAAAAGACAAAAATTACTTCAATTGCAGTGTACAAGTACTGCAGAATTGCTAATTGATTTAAGCCTGGCAGAAAACTGAAGGCTCCTGACCATAAATGGAGTAACCTTTGTGCTGAATTCTGTAACAGAGGCCCATGTTCCTGCCCATATATGTATGTCCCTGTTACAAAAGGGCAGCTTCCAGCCTTTTAAATTATGGTTTGTAGCAGTGCCACGGCCTTGTTCTTAGATCACCGGGGCAGCTGGCAGTGTGTTGGAGCTGTTCAGGTTCTGCAACTTTCAATGGAAAAATAATAATTTTTATGTATCATTGCTACAAAAAATAATTTCTCTCTCAGGTGAATTGGAGTTTCTTGACTGCCTCAGCTTGGAACTATAAATTTCTGTCTTTTTCTTTGTTAAGGGTTTAGAAATTCTGTTCTCTTCCTTGGGTTTAACTCAAGAACTCTTAGGTCGTCACAGTGTAGAGTCTGGATTTGTTCTCTCTCTCTGTCTCTCTCTCTGTCTCTCTCTGTCTCTCTCTCTCTCTCTCTGTCTCTCTCTCTCTCTCTCTCTCTCTCTCTCTCTCTCTCTGTGTGTGTGTGTATGTGTGTGTGTGTGTGTGTGTGTGTGTGTGTGACTTTTAGGTGGTAAGTTTTAAAAAATAACATTTTATTTCAAACAAGAGTTCCTCTTCCCCCACATACACACCTTAGACAAAGTCTATTTTTCTCTTTTTTAAAGTTAAAAAAAAAAGGAAAGGATGATTTTTAACCTATCTTAATTCTGAGTCCAGCTAGCTATTTCTCCATGTACCTGGTGATGAAGGCTAAAACTGTAAGAATTGTTATGAAGAGATTTAAGAGCAATTTATAACTCATACAACATAGATTTCCACAATGTCCAGATTGTGACACCTGCTCAGGTTTTACAGGTATCTTGATGGTGGGGTGGCTTGTGCCAGGTTGTCCTCTGCAGGCATGGAGCTGTAGTGGGGTAGCCGGGAGGGTGTGCTCACTCCAGCTGCAGCAGTGATGACAGTTAGACTGAGAAAGGGTCCAGCCTGCCCTTTCTGGGTCACATTTTACCAAGTGTTCAGTCTCACATTTATCCCTTTGGGAGTGGGAATACAGAAGAGCTAGACAACATTCCCAATTTAAGACTGTTCATTAATCAATAATGGCTTTTCTCTACTTAGAAAACTGAGCACTGGGGATAATGGAATGCTTTATTATTTATTTATTTATTTATTTATTTATTTATTTATTTATTTATTTTGTTCACCATAGCTGTTAGCACGTTGTATAACCTGAGACGATTTGCCTGGTAAAAGTGTAGTAAGTAGGTAAAGGGGTAGATAGGAAAACGAGGCTTCATCCAAAAAATGAATCCTCCAAAGGATGAGCAAGCCATGTAAGAAAGCGATAGAGGTGGGTCTGGTGTCACTGATCAATGGATACTTTTTACTTAGTACATTTACAGTAAATGTAACTATACCTACAATATGCTAAAACTCATGTTTACCCACCAGCAAGTGTCTTCTATTGAATATTAAAAAGCCCCGAGCTCCTTATTTTATGGCACACATATTTAGTGATGAAACGTAGGTCACCAGATCCAAAGGCAGAGAGTCACCTGATATCCCTGTGAGCACTCACTTTGCTGATTAGTGGAACGCACCCCACGGTCCATACCCCCATCTAGGTCTGCTTGCCTGTTTTGAGAACTGGATTCCTCCTCTACCTCATCCCCTCTCCAGAATACCTTCTGGTATGGTTTTAATCTTGATGTAACCACCATGTGATAGTTTTAGAGATAATTCCATTGTTTTGGGTAACTTTGGGCAAATAGCACACTGTCGAAGGGTGATGTGTTCCTTTCCACTAGATGGGGGTATGAGATAACCAGAAGTAAGAAAGGCTCTTTTATAGCTGTAATAAAATTCATTAATTCGCCACAGATTTTTACCAAATAAAGTTTCCTGACCAATATGTGCACAAGCAAAGCAATGAGCTCGTTGTCTCCAGTGTCTGCCCCTCTTCCTCCTGCCTCTTTGTCCCTCTTCCCCCTGCCTCTTTGTCCCTCTTCCCCCTGCCTCTTTGTTCCTCTTCCCCCTGCCTCTTTGTCCCTTTCTCCTGCCCCCTTTGTTCTCTTCTTTCTGATGAATTCTTATCACTTGTAGTTCATTGATTTTTCTTCTCACTGTTCTGAATAATACATACTGGACAATATGGATAGAATTGGAGATAGCAGGGTTAGTCTATCATCTCAAATTTTAAAATTAATATACTTACTGTAAATGTATGCTCAGTGTTGGGTGGATTGGGGATGGGTGTTTTTCCCCCCTAGAGAGACTTTTCTGTCAGCCTCTTGATTTTTACCTATTGTGATCCTGAGAGACATTAAATGCTTTTAGTAAGGAGAGGTAGCCTTTCACACAATTAGTTTCCCCTAATGCTATTAATATAGATTTAGAGTTCTATTGTGATTTGGAGTTCTACAAACCCTTTTCATAATTTCTTTAATAGAATACTTCACCCAGCAATTGTCCTGTCATCCTCTCTGGTCTGTGCATGTACACTCTAAAGTCATTTTGTTTGTGATCTGTGTAATTTAGCACACACACTTAACAGTATCTAATGCTAATTTGCATCTGTAGTGACCTCCTGGGCAATCTGCAGTTATACAGTGCTTTGTGAAACGCTCAACTCCATCGCCCTCTATTTCCCTTCCAGCTTAAAACTCTAATGCCTTGGAGTTGCCCTGTCACTCGTCCTCCACCGTCATCTTTTCCAGTTTGTTCCTTTCCCAACACCGTTCTGCGTCCTCAGCCTCTCACGCCATGCTCTCCCCAGGAGACAAAGGTGCTGACACAGTTTATTCACATCACATACTGCTCCCTGGATATCAGGATTCGAGGAGTTTGTTTTGTTTTGCCACGTTTTAGCAGAATACACTAGATTGTGTATCTTGCAGTCTACTTGATACTATTATCCCCACATCCCAGGCAATCCAAATACCACAGTAGTTTAGTGTTGAAAATTCTGTGGTGAATTAATGGATTTTATTACAGCTATAAAAGAGCCTTTCTTACATCTGGGTGGTCCCGTTAGTTGACATTGTTCTCAACCTTCCACATCCCTTACCTTACATCTATTTCTCTTTTGTGTTTTTAATCTTGATAAATTAAACATTCCTTTTACCATCTTTTTCATCACCCAAATCCTTGTCGTCTTTTTGAGAATCTGTCCGTAAGCCTAAGTCATCCACAAGCTTAGATTCGACTGTAACGTCTGAAATCTTTTTGTCTCCACTCTCTAGGGACCTGTTTCCAGGACATTACATTACATTATATAATGTATAAATTACATTATAAAGCAGCCACAGTGCTGCTGTTATTAAAAACCACAGCACAGCTAACTCCATGCACGTTTTTAAAATTTTTATTAATCATTTTATTCATTTACATTTCAAACGGTATCCCCTTTCCTGGTTATCTCTCCACAGCCCCTCCCATCCCATTCGCCCCTCCTCCCTCACCTTTGCCTCTTATGAGGATGCTCCTTCATTCACCCCTTCTGTCCTCACCATTCTGGCATCCCCCTGGGCTGGGACATCAAACCTCCATAGGACCAGAGGCCTCTCCTCCCATTGATGCCTGACAAGGCCGTCTTCTGTTACATATGTTATCTAGAGCCATGGGGTCCCTCCATGTGTACTCTTTGGTAGGTGGTTTAGTCCCTGGTAGCTCTGGGTGCGCCAGTTAGTCGTTATTGTTCTTCCTATGGGGTTGCAATCCCCTTCAGCTCCTTCAGTCCTTCCCCAGCTCTTCCATTGGGGTCCCCAGGCTCAGTCTGATGGTTGGCTGTGAGTATCTGCATCTGTGTTGGTCAGGTGCTGGTAGAACCTCTAAGGGAACAGCCATACCAGGTTCCTGCCAGCAAGCGCTTCTTGGCAACATGCACAGTTTTTGAACGAAGTGTCTGTATCTGAAAGACTGACATGCTATGTAGCCTTCAAATATGTTTCATCTGTAATCCAGTCTCTGCATGGTAGGTTGTGTGATATTTGAAACAATAGATGTCTTCCTGTTACTAATTATCGATGATTCAGTGCCTCTGAGTTGCTATTGTAATGGAGGTCACACTCTACAGGGTGTGCCTGCATGTCCCTCTCCAGCTTCATGGGCTTCATACTCACTTGCTCCCAGCCTTTTCTGTTACGAGACCTATCGAAGAGCTCTCTCCTAATTTAGGGCTGCTGCAAATACTCTTTCTATTCAAGCCTTGGGAACCTTTCCTCAGCCACAAATAACGCCTGCACACCCCCACACGTATGATTTATGCATCTTTTCAGCTCTAAACTTAAATATCACTTTCTTTTGGAATCCTTTCCTTACCAGGTTGAAGTAAAAAAATCCGACTGTCGTGGTAGCCCTATTTTTCATTCCTAACACAAATGCAATTAAAATGTCCATGTGTGTCTGTGTCGTCTTCTCACCAGGAAGTAGATTTTAGAAGTTCAAAGGCTGGACCTGTGGTTTTCATTGGGTCCGGTCTCAAGCATGCTGCTTAATACGTGGCCATACATGTAGCTTGCGTGTGAGAATGTCGGCTGCTAGAGAGATTAGTGGAAATGGGTTGTGTTGTTAAACTCGTAGAAACTCCATTAGAGAATCATTAATTCATTTGTCTTATTTTGGAGACAGGATGTCGATATGTAGCCCTCGCTGGCCTGAAACTAATACCAGCCCATTTTTCTTTGATACATCATGGAAGACATGATAATTGGTGGATAAGAGTTTGAAAAAATAAGGGAAAGGAAAAAAGGAAGGAACTAAGAAAGGAAATATGAAAATGGGTAAGGGAAGGAAAGGAAATTGAAGTCAGAACGGGAAAGGAAATTGAAACAGGCTATAGAGTGAAATGTAGGACTGTGATTGTTTTATGGGGGAATGTATATGAATGTCCCACTCACTTAAAAGAATAACTTGGGGAGGGACAATGAAATAATACCCAGGGAATGAATGAAACATGAAATTTCCTGCTGTGATACTTTAGGTGACATTCATTCATTCATTCATTCATTCATTCATTTATTTTGGTGTGAGATTGAGGAGTCGTGGGCAAAGACCACTTGGGTTATAGTCACGCTGGCTCGGCCTTTGGACATGTACTTCTTACCTATAACCTAATTTTTCAAAGTCATATTAAGTAAGGGTGTGTCCTCCTGTGTCTCTCTTGCTTAAGTTTATGAATTCTCATCCTTTTCCTATGAAAGAGACAACATGACTTTTTGTGTTCTATGTAATACATTTTTAAGGTATTTTAGGAACCACGAAGGACTGCACGTGCACCAGTGGCTTGGCGTACTTGGTCATTTTCTGCTTTTTTCCCAAATCATAGGAAAATATGTCGTAACTGCAAATGTGGTCAAGAAGAGCATGATGTCCTCCTGAGCACTGAGGAGGACCGGAAGGTGGGGAGACTCTTTGAAGATACCAAGTACACCACCCTGATCGCTAAGCTGAAGTCAGATGGAATTCCCATGTACAAACGCAATGTTATGATCTTGACCAATCCAGTGGCTGCCAAGAAGAACGTATCCATCAACACCGTTACCTACGAGTGGGCTCCCCCGGTTCAGAACCAGGCACTGGTAAGTACTGGGAGGGATGAGGAAGGAGGCTCTTTTTTTTTTTAATGTCTCTAGATTATTTGTCTAGGGCATCTCCTTTTGTAACGTGGTCACCCATAACACATCTCTTGTGTGTTTCTTGAGTTCCCATTATTTTGACTTTGGGTACTGATCCCTACTTTTTAAACCATGAGTCTACTACAAGCCCCAGAGACTTTTTCTAACTATCTAAATTTACCTTATTATTATTATTTTTTTTAAAGAGAATATTCTAAAAGTTTTAGTAATTACATGAAAATCAGAAAAAGAAATCAGGTGTTTTATATCCATCTAGCCGGTTTTCTGGTAGACTCTTAAGATTTTTGTTACAATGAGAAAGGATAAATAATGGATTTCTTGCCTGTATTTAGAACTGAACAAAAAAAGTTTCCAACATTATATTTCTTTTACTATAAAAGGCAAAAAGTGTGATTTGCATCAAGCTCTTTCCATTATTATGACTAGCTAAAGCACTGGAAGGTCAATGTAGGGCATTTCAGTAAATCTTGCAAATAATGTTTACGTATGATGAACTAGCCACTGATCCCCACTGCACTCATAGTGATGCACTCAGACTGTTCCATATAGCCACACATCTCCTGACTTAGCACACATAAACAGCAGTAATCCAAACGCTCTTTAAAACTGGATACAGGGAGTTAATTTCCTGGAGAAAAAAAAAATGTGTACATTATACTCATTAAAACCTGTTTTGTTATGTGTTAATATCTTTAGATGTTTATAGCAAAAGGATGAAACTCCCTTCTTCTTAAGTAAACTTGTTTCTTGTGTGTGTTATAAAAGATGGAATAATCCCATTCAACACTGGTCTTCCTGCACTCCAGGCCAGGCGGTACATGCAGATGCTGCCTAAGGAGAAGCAGCCAGTGGCAGGTTCAGAGGGGGCGCAGTACCGGAAGAAGCAGCTGGCGAAGCAGCTCCCTGCACACGACCAGGACCCTTCTAAGTGCCATGAGTTATCTCCCAAAGAAGTGAAGGAGATGGAGCAGTTTGTGAAGAAATACAAGAGTGAGGCTCTGGGAGTGGGTGACGTGAAGTTTCCCTCTGAGATGAATGCTCAGAGTGACAAGGTGCACAACCCTGCCAGTGACAGAAACACCCTGGCAGCAGTGGGTTCCAAGGGGAAGTCTGCAGAATCCAAGAAGACCCAATATGTGAGTCGTCACCATGTTGATTTGCTTTATGTTTTGTGGATCTTTTCCTTTCTTAGAACTTGTTTTGTGTGTGTATTGGGGGGGTCATTCTTCTGTTTCTAAAGGATTAGGTAAGGAGAAGAAAATTAATTAGAATTCAGTTTGACTTACCTTAGAGAATTACTGTGTTTGAACATTTAGGCCAACTATCTATAGCCAGACTTTCTGATTATTATGAAGAATAATTTTAAGTTTTATGTATTCACAGTAGTCAGCATTAGCTTTTTAGCTTCTTACTTGAATACAGCATACCAATCTGGCATCTGTTTATTTAAGAAGCTTTTAAATATTTTATTTGTTATTTTTATGTGTATGAATTTTTTTTTGCTTGCATCTGTTTATGCATGCAATGCCCATGGAGGCCAGAAGAGGGCGCTGGATTCCCTAGGACTGGAGATACACACAGTTGTGAGCCGTACCATAGAATTGCTGGGAATCAAACAGAGGTCTCTGGAAGAGCTGCCAGGTCCTCTTAACTGCTGAGCCACTTCTCCGGTCCCAGCATCTGTTTCTAAACACAATCCTTGTGTTAACTGGTTATTATTTTTTTTTAATGTATCTAATACCTCTAGTTTAATTACATTGACTAACATTGACTAATATCGTCAGTGTAACACTGAGTCGTGATGACATCACTAAACATCTTCTTCACACACTTTAGCAAGGACTGCATCGTCTCTTTGTACCTTATTATGATAGCTGTAAGGAAACATCCGTCAGTTTCTGTTGCGCATTTTATTAACCCCTGCATTGACGGAGCTGATTTAGTCTTTACAGGTGTGATTTAATAAGTGCTTTGACAATTTCACATATAGATATAATTCGTTCGGATTGCTCCATCCTCCTCGAGCTCTTATCTTCCTCTCATTCCCATTAAGCCCCCGTGTCCCTTTCTCGGGTTCATGTAGCTTTGTATTGTGATCTACAGAGTTTAACCAAGACTGTGTGGCCAACAGATTGGAACTTGGCATTGGAGCTTAGTGCGCTCACCAATGAGTATGCAGATGAAGACAATGACTGCCCCTCCTCCAGAATCTATCAGTAACCAATAGTTAAGCAGGGAGGGACATAGCCCTGTGAGGCCCTCCCCAATGCATGATGGACTGTTGACTAGCCCAATCTCGGGCAGGCCCAGTGCAGACAGCTTCTGGTGCTGTGAGATCCTGAGTACAGTGGTGGAGTCTGGAGTCATGCCCAGAAGACCACAGCTCACAGTCCTTCCCTCCCTCTGCCAGTTCTTACAGGCTTTCTACCCTCTTGTTGTCCGTGATGTCCCCTGAGTGGTATCCATGTCCTCTTTAGAGCTGGCCAGTCACTCATCGCTTATCCTCAGTGCTCCCTGAACAGCCTGAGACTCTGAGTTCATGATGAGCAGGGCTGAAGGTAGCCTTTGTGAGCTAAACAGGAACATTTAGAAGGTGGTTTGTTGTTCTATCAATACAGCCAAACAACAATAATAAGTCTTCCCCTAGGGCCCGAGACCTCCTCAGACACAGGTTTGGACTGGGTTTATAGTAATAAGCATGAATTCCCTCTTATGAAGCAGGCAGGCCTCAGATCCAATCACAGAGCATCTTTCCACGTACATAGGAATAATATATGCTTAGGGTAATCTAGTTTTGCTTGCAAGATCACGACTACGATTCAGACTTCAATCTGGGCAGCAGATTGAATTTTTGGCAAAGGTATTTCAAACTCTCTTTCAGAGAGTTTCTTTGTAATGACTTGAAGGGAAAGGAGAATCATGCTGCAGATAAAGCATCAGGTCTGAGCTGACTGTAATATATGTCTCGTAGATACAATCAGTGTATCGGTTACTAAGGTGCGGTTCTCCATACATTCACTCATAGCTCTTAGGTAATCAATTTTGAGAGAACTGACATAAAAATTGAGGTGAAGACAACTATGAATCTTTCCCCCAGTGAGTGACTTCCATTTGGGAAACAGTGCTGTGTGGAGCACAGGGGGGAAAGAGGATGTTTTCATAGAAATGTCAGGTCTGCATTGTCATTTCTGTAGAAACGGTTGCTAGGTGTACCGCAGTGCCGGGGACTGAGGATGTCAGTGCTCTGATAACTGGTGTCTGGCTTCTTTCCCCTAGTCCTGTTACTGCTGCAAACACAGCATGAAGGAAGGAGACCCAGCCATCTATGCTGAAAGGGCTGGCTATGATAAGCTCTGGCACCCGGCGTGTTTTATCTGCAGCACCTGTGGTGAACTCCTGGTCGACATGATTTACTTCTGGAAGAATGGGAAGCTGTACTGTGGCAGACATTACTGTGACAGTGAGAAGCCCCGCTGTGCTGGCTGTGATGAGGTCTGTTCTCCAGGGCCAGCTCGCTGGCAGCCTCTCCCTTACGCCCCACAGGTCTCCGCCCTCCAGGAGACAACAGGCATCATACAAGTACTGGCGCTGATGGCGCAAACACTGACGCTGATGGCACAAGCAACTTGTTTATTTTCCATTCTGTGTGCCCTGATTAACCAATGGAAAAACGATCAGAAACAAAAGATTGATTTTGATAACAAACCCAAGCCTGATGCTACCATTTTCAAATATTAAGCCCCCAAGAAGGCATCTGCTCTTGGAGGTTTACATGCCTGTCGAAAGGACCTGGGTGTGTTACTGTGGGGTAAAGAAAACAAATTCCTGATGGCTTTTGTTTTTCTCCTCTTGCCAGCTGATATTCAGCAATGAGTATACCCAAGCAGAAAACCAGAATTGGCATCTGAAGCACTTCTGCTGCTTCGACTGCGACAACATCCTGGCAGGAAAAATATACGTGATGGTCAGTGACAAGCCTGTGTGCAAGCCCTGCTACGTGAAGAACCATGCTGTGGTAAGAAGTGCAGGGCCACACTCACCTCAGCCTGTGCACTGACTTCCTTTTCTGCCTCTCTTTACATCACCTAAAAGTGGGAAGCCAAGAGCCAGCCTGTACAAAGAAAACACGTGCTTCCTTCATAGGCTGTTTAAATCCAGGCAGTTCAAAAGCCATAAATGCACGGATTACCTTAAGATGGCTCATTCTGCCTGTTCATTTGCCATATAGCTTATATATGAAGCTTGGTAATACTTTCTGAACTAAATAAAGTTTCTTAATAGGATTGGATTTATTCTTATGACCACAGATCAGATTCTGTTTAAAATGGCTCAAAACTTAAGAGAGCTTGTTGCACTTCCAGAGGACCTGGGTTCTATTCTAAGCACCCACATGGCAGCTTACAGTCATCAGTACTTCCAGTCCTATGAGATCTTTTGGCCACTTCAGGGACCAGGTACACACATGTTACATGGACATGTATTCAGGCAAAACACCCATACACATAAATACTAAAATGAATAAATCTAAAAAAAAACATACTTTCAGTACATGTTACTAATCCACTCACTAGGACCTTGACTTGCTACCTGGAGATTATTCAGTGACTGTTTCCTAAACATTTGTTTAGGAACTGATCTAGTACAGCAGAAATTGGCCTGTATATTTAGATTATTGTGTGGGACATGCAGGTGCTTCATGTGGGGGCGTGCTTTTATGGCACCCATTGTGTTACAGAGCTCCTGCTGCTGCATGCTGTCCGAGAGATGGTAATGTAGATACATGGTGAAGAGATGGCCATATATAGTCGGCTTCCAAACCAGGAATAGCAGGATAGGTTCCTACTAATCATACCTAATCATTTTCTTAGTTTAAAGGCCCCCTAAGCTATTACATAGGGGAAACTCCTGGGGGAGGGGAAAAAATGTACCTATGTGTAGTTCTAAAAGTCCGATGCTTTGACAAAAAAGTGAGCTTAGGTGTCTGCCCGAATGCAATCTTGACTCGCTGTACCACAGTTTATTTATCAGTTCCCCTCAGATCCTGACTACTGTCCACACAAACCTGCCCCTGCTTTCAACAGTCATCTTGCCTTAAAAGCCACCGTCCTTGACCATGGCGGATGATCCTCCCAGAATGCAGCCGTGATCCTAGGCCTTTGTTGACTTGCCTGTCACTTGCTGCAGTTATCTAACTCAGATGACATTTCCAAGGCGCGTTACCTTCTGGGTTTAGTTCTTCCCTTGTTTGTCTGTCGCTCACTCTCCCTTAGGCCTTGCCTCATATAAATACCCGTGTGGTGTTTCTCCTTTGCTGGTTCCCTACTCCATCCTTTCTCTCTGGTTAGCCTCTCCTGTGTGTACATGTGAGCGTGCGTATGTGTGTGCGAAGCAGCTGCCTTTTTCTCTGTCTTCAGGCTCTCCACTTAGGAAGTGCTTGAACAACTGACTTATTTTTCTCTTATTTCTCATTTGTTTGGGGCTGACATTAGACCTCCCTCCTCTCAGGAACATGATAGTAAATAGTTATATGTAGTAATATATTATATAACCCCAAATGTTGGTAACCTTCTGTATAGAAGAAGGCTATCTTAGTGCTCAGGTTTTGTAGCATGTGAGGACCTGGATATTTTCCTTTTAAAAGCCACCACCCTTGACCATGGCTGATAATCCTCCCAAAATGAAATCATGATCCTAAGCCTTTGTTGACTTGCCTGTCACAAGTCCCAAGTACCCATAAATATTTCCTTAGCTAAGGTATTAACAATGAGACTGCTTTATTCACTGTTTGTAACCTCCTCTCCATATTATTCTTCTAATCAGTGGACAGAAGTAAATCTATTTTTAAAAGAAGCAGTTTTGAAAAAAAAAAAACCCTAATCATTTAAATCATTTAATCAGTAAAGTAAACCATTGGCTTTGCCTAATATTAAAAAAAGCTGTCTTTATCTCACCCGGGCAAGGTCAATGGGCTGCTCATCTTTGGGGATTATTTAACTCACTGTGTTCATCTGTGCAGAGATTTTGACATTTAAAAAAAAACATTTAAGAGAAAACATTTTTAAACCTGAAGAAATGTCCTCAGTCTAGCTAAACAGGACATTTCGGAGGTAAAAATGACTCGGAAGGAGGAGCGAGATGGGGAGGTACCTGGTTTGTCCCCATGTGCTCACCGGACTTCCACTGGCCACCCAAGATTCACATCTGCAAGGCTCACAGGGTTCTCCAGCCAGAGAGCCCATGATGACACAGCATTAGTTACCTCACACCTTGGGTTCAAATAAAAGAAAGCAGAAGGGGTGGAAGGAAATAGCTCTTTGAGCTGCGTGAGGATTGTGTCACAGGAAATGCACTGCCAGGCACACTGTGTCGAAGGGTATAGTCCCCATGCATGCCCTCCGTGCATACGTAGCTTTGAGCTTTCTGGATAAGCAAGGATCTGCTGGTCTTACCTGGAGTCATATATAAGATTCTAGGATGAATGCTGATTGACTGTGTTTGCGAAGCTAAGCTGTGTGGAACCATCAGCTCTACATTCAGCATGCCATTTGTATATCCATCTGATGCTCTTTGACCTAACGAATTCCCTTAATTCCACATATAATTGAATAGTTCTGTCTTTATTTGTATACTAAACTGCTATGTCTTATCTAATAATAAAACAATCCACAATTAATGTTACAAAACAGAAAGAAAAGAAGAAAGTAAATCATAAGGAAATAGAATATTCCATGTGAAATGGCTCCTCTGTCACACAATTTTAAAGTGTTAAAAGACTAATATGAAGCACAGAAAACCAAAATTCTACATGAGCTATTACACTACAGAAATTCCATGCAAAATCAACTGTTTGCATAGTGCAGCTGTAGATTCAGAGGGAATTTACAGCTTTAACATTGGGTATCATTTGCATTCAGAACTCCTGTCTGTGTTATGCAAAGAAAGTATGTCCGTTTCCCAGCCAAGAGGTAGTTGATTGACCTGTAGATATAGTCTCTGTAATAAGAAGCTATGTATATAAAAACTATATTTCAAGTCTGGAGAGGCTGTGTAGTACGGATCACCTCATTGTGCAGCAATGGCTGTCCTCATTGCAGTAACCCCCAACCAAGAGACAAGGGGAGCTTAAGGCTGGTCAGTACCACATAGTATGCCCTCAGTTGTTGTAAAAAAAAGAGTTTAGATGTTTTACATTTTTATTCAGATGATATGTGAACAATGCAAATGACTCTAGTGCTTTGGCGATTTCCAGGAGGTAGCTTTCTGCTATAACATGTACGATTGTTTCTTGTTCTCTTCATCTGTATGTTCAGTTAAGAAGAGTATTACGCATATGTTTGTCTCATTTGTATATTGGAGTATAACATACACAGGATACTGAATGTGGGCTAGGAATATACCTCCGTAAGAACAGTTCTTGCATAGTGTGCACGATGGCCCGGGTTTGATCTCCAGCCCTACCTAAATCACCCGGCATCGCAGCACTTGGGAGGTGCGGGGAGAAGTATCGGGAATTTAGGTCCAGCCTAATACCTTTTCCAAGACAAAACAAAACAAAGAGAAAGTATTAAAGAAAGTATTAAAGGTCATGGCATAGATCATAAATAAACAACGACTGAACTTATGACAGAACAGAAGCGGATTAACTACAAGTTATATCTATGACGTGAACCATCATTCTTTCTCAAATACTGTCTGTAATTTTAATTAACTCCTTAGCTACTTTGAGTATGATTTTAGTTCACTACTCTCTAGAAATTAGTGGATGTTAATAGTCACATGTGTCAGTGTCATAGGCATGACACGTTCATGTTGTAGATAGGATGTTACCACCGCAGAGAGTTAATGAGTGAGGGAAAATAATCTTACAGACCTCCTTCTAATTATTTTGGTGAAATCTACTACAATTTGACTGGAAACAAATGCAGTGCTTTGGGATCTTTCCATCAGAACTTCCTATTTACGACAGCCCGGGGACACCTATGAGCACTTCTACCTGTTTAGCTACATGCTGTTTCTCACTACGCTCCGTATATAGGCCCCTGTTGACTACAATGTTTCACAAAGATGTCACTGTCACCTGTATATCTTTCATAACCTCTTAAAATTTACCATCTACAGAATCAAATTCAGCTTGCTCTCAGGTGCAGGTGTGGCTGGCATGGTCAGTCTCTAACCCTCTCCTTCTCGCTTTACTCCTGAGCAGGTGTGTCAAGGATGCCACAATGCCATCGACCCGGAAGTGCAGCGAGTGACGTACAATAACTTCAGCTGGCATGCGTCCACAGAGTGCTTCCTGTGCTCCTGCTGCAGCAAGTGTCTCATTGGGCAGAAGTTCATGCCTGTGGAAGGAATGGTTTTCTGTTCGGTGGAGTGTAAGAAGATGATGTCCTAAGAGAACACCAAGCAGTATTGAGCCATAGCTATCTACAGTGGCCTGCATTTCATGAGAAACTGCAGTTTGAAAAAAAATAATAAAAGAAAAAAAACTACATAAGAAACCAGAAGATTTTGTCCAATAGTTTTCTCTTTTTAACCTTATGAATTTTGTCTTAATTTTAAATGACTGCTTTAAGCACATGATTTTTTTTCAAAAAACAGTAAAGAATTTTAGCTTTTATTTCTACACATTCAGTCTTTGGGTTTGGAAGCTTGAATTTAATCAAACCATATAACTGCATACCCCTAGTGCCAAATCACTTAAAATTAGTGTCCTGGGAGAGATGACCATTTTAACTTCTGTGCTTCTTTCACATGGGAAATGTAAAGGAAGTTACATGTTGCCTGACATGATACTGTGCACTTAGCCTGCCATGTTGTTTAGTTTGATGTCGTGATGGCATCAGCTCAGTGAATTCCCTTCTAGCAGACAGCGTGGTCCATAATGGTGTCCCAATGCCTAAGCCTTTGCATCCCCAGTTGAAGCAGAGGGGCCTCTCTCACTGCATCTCTCTCTATTTCCTTTACCTCCCAATGTTCTCTTTTTCATCTAGTGACCTCCATCTGTGGCCTTGAATATTTTATATGTATGTGGTTGGAACAATATGTGCACTTTGCTCGTAGAGATTATTCTTTTTTTTTTTTTTTTTTTTGTCTAGAACATAAAACTAGGCCATTCATTTAGGTTTTTTGTTTGTTTGTTTGCTTTTTTGGTGTTTTTGAAACCCAAAGAATATGTATAGGTTTTGTACCCAGGGAATTATAACTTGTGCTAATATCACCTTTCTGCCATGCCTTGACTTGATTTTGCATGAATTACAGTGTTACCAGATGAATACTCTCTTGCACTACCTCTGAGCTTGCCATAGACACAAAGGCTGTCTTCTTTGCCTGTGCACTCCCATCCTTGGGTGTTTTTAATGTTTTCCCTTGTATGCTTTCATACATAACTATGCACTATAAATATTAAATGGAATGACTTAAATGTTATTGAAAATAAAGTCTCTTTCACTTTAATAATTGTCTTTCTACGTCCTTTTTGTGAGTGGAAAAATCCTTCTGCAGTTAAGTATCATGGACAGCAGGGGCCACTGTCTCCAAGAGTAAAAATATCCCGGAGAAAAGTTAAGGCAGCTGCTGTTAGGGCAGACCGATTGATTTCTCATTGCAGACAAAGAGTGGGTTTCATAAAGATTTAAACTAGGCCTTTGTATTAACGCTTAGGTTATGCAGGAGTCTGTTATTCTTTTAGTGAAACTTTAAAAGGAGAGTCAAGTGTTGTATTTTTAGTTGTTTTCGGAGGAAATTTTCCTGTTTTTTGTTTGTTTGTTTGTTTCTTTTTGTTTTTGAAATGGTGTCTCACTAGGTAGCCCAGACTAGCCTACCCTCAGACTCAGTTTTGCATCAGCCTCCCGAGTGTTAAGATTTCAAGTGTGCCCCATTATGCCTAGTTATAAATAGGATCTTTTAAAATTTCCTAGGTATTTTTTGGTCTGGATTCTCGATTACTAGCAGACTTTCTATATGTGTAATTTTTTTTCCTTCAATCTGAAACTGGGTTGGATGTTTTGTTTTGAGTTCGGGTCCCATGTATCTTAGGGTGGCCTCAAACCACTACGTAGACAAAGAGGACGTTGAACTTCTGATCATCTTTGTCTCTTTCTCCAACTGCTGGGATTACACCAGTGTACCTACCTTAGACCTGGTTTATACTGTTTCTTAGTCAAACTCAGTGTTTTGTGCGTGCTGGGCACACATCCTGCACATATCCCCTCCCCCTCCCGACCCCCAGTCTGAATTTTTACATCTTAGTAATTTTAGTTTTTCTGACACATACTCGGGATGTTTGGTTTGGGATTTTGCTTGTTTGTTTTTGTTTTGCTCTGTTTCCAGTTACTGTTGCGTACTGCCACTCTATGTGTTAGAAGCACACACACACACAGCACACTCACTGAGTAGGCACACTTAAGTACTTAACAAGCACACTGCATCCCCTCTGCATTCTGGCTCCTCCGATGGCAAAAAGTCCTTTTGGAGTTTGAACACACAGAACGGTGTTGACAGTTGTCATCCAATTCAGCATACAATGTCCTGGTGAAATACACACCACTTTACTCTTATCTTTGCCTTGGTTTGCCTTAAATAGCAGATATTCTCCAGCCCATTTTGACTATAAAGTTTAATGCTTTCCCCCAGCCACTGGCAAAGTGAGAAAAAAGCAGAAAAGACTCTTCACTTTACCACAACCGACTCTTCCCAAGTCCTCCTGGCTGTCCCTACACCTCTGGCTAAGGCAGAATAAGGCTGGCACTAAGAGTCATTCACTAAGAGAATAATTCCGTGTATTTATCATGGAACAAATGAAGTGTCGGTGTGGTGTAGATCCACCAGGTCTGGCTCTCCCTTCAGTAGCTAGTTTACCCTTGCAGTATAAGATCATGGCCTCCTTGGCTAAGAGGTTCTCAAGAAATGACATGGTGGTTTTAGTTGGTGTCCTTGTTTGCCTCTGTTGCTAAGATAAACACTATTACCATAAACAGTGGGGATTTGGCTTACAGATTAGAATCTCTTGAGGGAAACCCAGGCAGGAACCTAGAGTCAGGAACTGAAACAGATTTTGGAGGAATGTTTCTACCGGCTTGTTCCTTTTGGCTTGCTCTGTTAACCTTCTTACACAGTTCAAGCACACTTGCCTAGGAATGACACCACCCACAGTGGGCTAGGCCCCCTATATCAATTAACAATTAAGAAAATGCCTCACATACAAACCAGAAAAATAGTAATGATAAAATACCTCAGAAATGCCCACAGGCCAATTAGATGGAAGCAATCTTTCAGTTGAAGTTCGTTCTTCCTTAGTGACTATAAGAAATAGGCTTTCAAATCACTTTATCCTATAAAAGAGTATGATGCTGATTCTATGCAATTATTTTTCCTCCAGTACTCAGAATATAATTTGTTTCCTGTTACATAGCAATTTCCTCTCAATCAGAACATTCCCTTAAGGAAGGAGAGAAAGGCCCTTATGAGATGAAGGAAGGTAACAAATTTCACAAGTCTATGGAATCTGAAATAAGATTTACCAGGACATCTTTTCTAAGAGTCTACAACACTGGTTCTCAACCTGTGGGTCTCGACCCCTTCATTGGGCTCTCTTAAGACTATTTGAAAACATAGATAATTACATTATGATTCATAGCAGTAACAAAATTATAGTTATGAAGTAGCAATGAAAATAATTTTATGGTTGAGGCTTACCACAACATGAGGAACTGTACTGAAGAGTCGCAGCATTAGGAAGCTTCTAGCAGTAAGCTTAAGGAGATAACTGACCAGTGAAGCAGCAGAGAGATTTTTTTCCCTACTGTGGAGCAATAGAACTGGGACCAAGAGTTCTCTGGCTACAAAAGCCAACACTAATTTCGAGGGGAAGGTGAAGAAATTTTAAGTTTTAAATTTGGATTTGTGTGTTTTCTTTTTCCAAATGTGAACAAAGTAGAACAGTTTTTTAAAAAATTCTAATTACCTAGGTATTGATAAATTCATAATACTCTTTCTCATTTGAGCCTCATTTCAGTTCATTTCTCAGAAGCAGAACTTAACAGTTGTTTGTTTGTTTGTTTTTACATCTGGTACGGCATGAATTTGACAACACATCATTGCAGTTAACAGTAGCAAAATGCCCACTAGGAGAGAGTGTAGAACCATTGCTGGTACTTAGGGCAAGACTGGAGATGTCCTCTTTCTCCACAAAAGCCACGGTCTTGGATATTAAAACACGTGGCAGTGATCTCTGCTATTCCTGTTCCCTGAACAGCAGTGGGAACACAAGAGGAGAGGGTTCGATGAGGAAAGAGAAGGGAGAAACCTCTTGGGGTCCAGAAAATTCAAAGGAAGATGCAGACTCAGCATCAGCCTCTGCACACTATTCATGAGGGATGCTGAGTACCCTCCCTGAACACTCGCTGATCGTGAACTCCTTCATGGAAGCTGCACGTACACTGTTCATCTCTAAACAGAACAATCTTGGACAAATATGATTGTGAGAAATTGATGGCTTATTTATTTTTTTATTCAGTTCTATTTATGGAATTCCAGTAGCTCAGACGGCTTGTTGGCCTTCACCTTTGGGACATATTTTTATTCTTTTTTGTTTGTTTTTAACTTTTTTTTGTTTATGAATTTCACACCATGCACTCATCTCTTCATCCTGTCATATCATCTGTACTGGGGGATCTTCTCCATCCTTACAATTTCCCCCCAAAAGAAAACAAAAATAAAAATGATAAAAACATAAAACCTCAAGACAAATAAATAAAAAAAATCTCACTGTGGAAGCTGTAGTGTGTCACAATGTGTCACACAGAGATCCTTTTGGCCAAACCTCTTTACTTCCAAATGTTCTTTGCAATGAGTCTGGTTCAAGGCCTCAGGCTTCTGCTACACTGTCAATACTCTTGTCAATACTCCTCACTGGGGCTCCTCTCATCCTGTTGTTGGCCTCTGTCATGGAAACTCTCCAGCTTCGGACCTGCAGGACTGGCCCCTTCACATTCTCCAGCATTTCATAGATGGGGTAGATGTTGGGGTAGGCAGACTCAAAGCCCTAGAACTGGGCCCGGGTTGTATAGTTGGTGATCCTACCAGCTTTCCTGTACTGGAGTCACCAGGCTAGGTCTGCTGCACTGCCCAGGTGAGGTGCGGGCTTTCTGTTTATTTTTAAGTGAGATACTACAGATTGTCTTTTTTTAATAAGCCCTAGTTGTACCATGGTGACCGGTCTTTAAGCATAGATTTCCAAATTGACTCAAGTGTTTCAGATGAGTTTCACCAAAGGCAAGAGATTCAGGGATGAGTCATCCTTAAGCAATTTGTAACACGTAGTGTTTAAGCTCTTCCAACTTCACTATGGTAACCAAAGAGACACCACCACCCAAGAACAGTTTTATGTCCCTGTCTCAGAATGACCTGGCATATCTGAACTTGTCTTCTGAGTTCGTCTGTGACTCCTTAGAAAACTTAAGACTGCCCATGATTGCATAAAAAAGATCACTTAGTAGAC